TACTAACTTTTATACATGCAGCCTGTGGGCTAGGTTTGCGCAGAGGTCATACAGCGCTCTCCGTGTTCAATATAATAATGCATTTAGGGTGCTGGTGGGGCTGCCCCGCTTCTGTAGCGCATCAGGAATGTTTGCAGATGCACACATAGACTGTTTCTATGCAACAATGCGCAAAAGGTGTGCTTCCCTGGTGAGCAGGGTGCGGGCCAGCTCCAACAGTATCCTGAGCATGATTGCGAGCAGACTGGACTGCATATACATGGGACGATGTAATGCCATTTCCCATGGATTAATGTAGGATGTAATAATATCAAACTTTTATTGCACTATAAAACAATTATGATTACATACTAACATAGATGTAAGTTTTACTAACATTTTGTGAGTCCTGGTTACTTTAAATAAATGATTTATTATTATTATTATTATTATTCGTCAAAATTATTTTCATCAATTTACTTTTTTTGTAAATGATAATATGACTGGGTCAGGATTTGGCATTGTCATTTACGTCTATCCCATATAATTTGGTTTTCTATTCTACATGTAGACAAGCACTAAATGGCATTTGGTTACAGCTGTTGTATAGATAAAATCTCAAAATGTCTGACAATAACTTAAGAAAATGTCGTAAAACTCCAAATTAGTGATGGAGAGGCTACGTCTGTCGTCATCATCATCATCATAATCATTCTGTAACTGTTACTATGCTTAGACAAACTTTTTTCTTTTTCTTCCGACGAAACATATAATATAAATATACCAATTTACTTTCACATAATAATTTAATTTACTTTTAGAGTATACCGGAGGCTCCTTTTTCCCCTACTCTCCCAAATTTCCTCAATCTCTGAATCCCCAACAATCCTCAAATTACTAATCCCCAAAAGGCCGGTAACGCACATGTTACGATTCCTTACCATCAGGTGATCCGTCTGCTGGCTTACTTACTTCTATCCTATAATAAAACAATATCCCAAAAAAACCAAACATCAGAAAACTCACCGATACTTAGTAGGGAACAGTTCAACGGCGACAGCATTCATGAGTCCGATACAGGCGCCCGACATTTGGAACACGGCGAACAGAACTACGGCCAGTTGCTGGTTATAGGCCAGGTGGGCACAGATCCCACAGACCCCAGTGATGCCCAGGATCACCACCAAGATGGGCTTCTTGCCCACGTAGTCCACGAGGAAGCCCACGATGATGTACATGGAGGAGAAGACCAGGCCGATGTAGATCGAGCGCTCGAATGTCGATGTGTGGATTGTGTCGTCGCAGATCTGGAGAAAATGGGTTAATGGTAAAAAAAATGTACCTACAGATAGTAATTTTACGAAACTTAAAAAAAGCTTTGTTGTACACAAGCGGCCACACATCAATCTATACAAAACCAGTTTATCCTGGTGTCGCGTCGCATCATCTTCCCGCATGACGTGTACCATCGCGGACTTTTTTGTTGAACTTTTTAAGGTGGTCAATACTATAGTACAATATTTTACATTATAAGCGCAAAAAAACGTGCTGATTTACGACACCACATTTTTTTTTTTAAGGGGGGAAAATCATCGAATGACTGCTCCCGCCTGGGTGAGGCGGGAGGGAGTGTCAGACTCTTACTGACTAAAAACCACCCCGTTCCTTCTCCTGCACGTCGAGCCGGAGCCCCGGTTACCCGTTAGGTTCTCCGCGACACCACATTAGAAACCTCTAAATTTATCAGTGTTTCTCTACTATATTATGCATGTATTATAAATAAATAAAATATAAACCTAACCTAAAATATAAATTATAAAACTTCCTTAAGAATCACTCTATCTATTAAAAAAACCGCATCAAAATCCGTTGCGTAGTTTCAAAGATTTAAGCATACAAAGGGACATAGGGACAGAGAAAGCGACTTTGTTTTATACTATGTAGTGATTCTGCTGTATGTGTGTATGTCATTTAACTCCTCCTAAACGGCTTGACCGATTTAAATGTTTTTTTCTGTATGCGTTTGAGTGGCGCCCTAGATGGTTTAGATTCACAAATCAGCCCGGCAGATGGCGCTATTGGTCTTTTCTGTCATACCTTTTTTAATAGGTACCCTTATCGCTTGAAATATCATAGTATAACGTCTGTCTGTAGTTTAAATATAATAATATTCGTGCAATACGCCCCTTTCATTCATAACTTGTTTCATTCCATGAAGTACTTATGAAGAAATGAAGTTATGACATTGTACGTAGAAACCTACCATAGTTCCATTGGAGACGGCATCTCGTCCAGCGTCCAGTACATCACAGATCCTGGACTCCCCTCCCTCATGATGCGCCAGAGAGTTCAGGATCGAAGGGAACCACACGTAGAAGCCATTGGTTCTGGAAATGTAAGTATTTTATTATATCACATGAAATTGGATATGCAGATACTAGATAGACATTTCAATAAACCAATGTTTTTCTTCTGAGAAGGTATTCAATCTAGTAATGGGTTACAGGCTACCTTGTACTATTAATTTACTCGACATGATAAAACATATTACCTACCCGAAAACATACGGTAGTTGACAGGTAGTCAAATTCAATACTTTTATTGAAATGTCAAAAACGATACTTTTGAATTTTGTATTGGATCACAACTTATGACGTCATCATATTTCTGCGTCAAATAGCATAGGTAGGTACTTATTTCCTTAAAATTAGCGAGAAAAAATCCAAAAGTAGGTAAATTGTGAAATCAATGGATGAGAGTATGATTATTTTTTAATTATTTATTGCAATGAAAAGTTGAAACAATTTATTTCAAACCTAGGAAGCTAGCCAATTCATAGTTTTTCTTTTGCCGATTATGCATTTTAGACCAACACCTATAGATAGTCTTTAATATAAGACATTTTAGGGTAAAAACTAAGTTTAAAAATACCGAATTCAACCTCCTCATTTTTTACAAAATCAAACTTACATCAAAATCAGTTCATCCAATCGCACACATACATACAGGTCAAACCGAGTACATCCGTTTTTTTTGAAGTCGTTTAAAAATTACGTACAGATTTCATAGTAATTTGAATTCGCAACAATTCTTCAGTAACAATTATTATTTATTATATTGATTTTTTTATAATAATTATCGTGAGACATACTAAATTAACTAAAAATCGCGGGTTACTCACGTGAATGTATTGAGAAAAGCTCTACCAGTTTCGAACTAGTAGTAGGCTGCGCGACGTCGCCGCGACCGCGCACGCTGCTCATGAAGAAGAACCCCTCTGCGGTTTGAAACTAGTAGAGCTTTTCTCAGTATATTCACGTGAGTAACCCGCGATTTTGAGTTAATATATTGACTTTTATTGAATCTTCAACCGATAAAAGATTCATAACTTCATAAGGCAATAATAATAATTCTTACGTGGCAAAGATCCCAAACTGCACGAAGCAGGTGAGTGCAGTCCAGGCGAGTAGAGGGCGCTGGAACAGAGGAACTGTCTGCTCCTTCATTGAGCTCCAGATGGCGGCCAGACCTCGCACGTTTGAGGTCTTAACTGTATGTTGGTCCACTATCAGGGACTTTATCTGGAAGATAAGTTGGTGTTGGATTACTGAATAGTTTCGTAGCGAAATATGCTGGTATTATCCAGTCACGAGGTCCAGACAGAGGTTGAGAAGGTTGATCAAGAAAAATAATTTTTTGACCTTAATATTGTTGAACAACTGCCTGCCTCGTGCCTGAGTGCTCGCAAGAGCGACTACCGGGCAAGGGGTCTCGGGTTCGATTACCGGGTCGGGCAAAGTAGTACTGTTTTTCTTTAAATCTCAGTTGTAACACGGAGTCTGGAAATGTGCCCGGTATTTATGGAAATAGACTCGCCTCCTATTACATGGGACACATAGTACAGTGGCATTAAATGCCGTAATGTGCACCTCTGCCTAACCCTTCGGAAATAAAAGGCGTGATGTTATGTATGTATTATTGAACAATCAATTGAATATCAACAGTTATTTTAAGTGACATATCGACGTAGCTGCACATACTTAATTACTATTTTATCTCAGTGGCAAATTGCAGTTGAATATTTTTATTTAGATAAATAATTACAAAGATGACAAATTAATGTTAAAGAGCATTGAATTTAATTTAAAGTTAAAGTAATTTTATTAATTTTCACACAGAAGTAACACCCACTTTTCACTATTTATGTTATAAGTCCCATGTAATAGGGGGTGGACCTATTGCCATATACCGGGCACATTTCCAGACTCCGTGCTAATACTGAGAATTTTTTTTAAACCCAGTAATACTTTGCCCGGCCCGGGGATCGAACCCTTGCCTGGCAGTCGCACTTGCGACCACTCGGCTAACGAGGCAGTCTAAGGCAGTCTAGTAATATTTTGACGAGGGTACTATTTTAGAACAGAGTTAGTGATGTGATGTCGGGGTGGACCGGAGGTTCAAGACGCCCGCTTCTCATGCATGAGGGTGCGGGTTCGAAACTTACCAACGGCAAGTACCAATGTGACTTTTTCCGAGTAATATGTACTTTCTAAGATTATCTAGACACCACTGACAAATGGTAAAGGAAAACATTGTGAGGAAACCTGGGCTTATAATTTCTAATTATAAGTTGGAAATCGCCAACCCGCAATGAGCAGGCGTGGTGATTCATGTTCAAACCTTCTCCGTGTGAGAAGAGGCTTTGCTCAGCTGTGGGCATTTATAGGCTGTTGATGATAGTGATTTAGAACATTAGTTAAAATACATAATTACTTACAGGAAAAGTGTCGACGTCTTTCTTGGTGTTTCTATGGTAGATCCTCTTCACCACATCCAAGGCAGCATCATAGTTGCCAGTTGCGAACAAGAACTTGGGACTCTCAGGTGCAAAGGCCAGGAGTACGGAACCCAAAGCGAAGGGAATCGCACAGGCCACAACTAGGAGTCGCCAGGGACGGTATTCGATGCCCAGGATGGAGATTGGGTAGGCAAACTCCAGTGGGAGAATTAGCCAAGATACACCTGAAAATGTTGAGGTGGCTTTTTGAGAAAAAGGAATATGTTTTAATACTACATCGTGAACTAAAATTAACATGTAGCTAATAATTGAATGAGTACTTATAATAAACTTGTTCAAAAATAAAATTTCACAGAATAAATAATAACAGAAATAAAATATACTTTTTGTACATACTCCTGCTGGATGATTATATAACATTATATGTATAACATCAAGCCTTTTTAGGCAGAGGTGCACATTACGGCACTTAATGCCACTGTACAAAGTAACACCCACTTTTCACTATTTATGTTATGAGTCCCATGTAATAGGGGTTAAGTCGCGCCTGTACTGTGTCGACTGTTAATATAAATTGAGATATGTGTGGCTCGTTTGATCATTGCAGGCGTAGATGCGCCTAACTGCGCGCAGATAAGAGGAATATATAAAGAAAAATAAAGACTGTGAATACCATGGTAATGGTAATTTATTTCTATTACCCCATGGTAAAGAAAATAAATTACCATTAATTTATTTTCTTTAGATCAATGTGATCTTCAAGGCCTGAGTGAATTGGTCACAAGGTCAAACATCGGCCCATCAAATAAAGAGTGGAACCTGAACGTGAAGTAGGTAGTAAGTATTAACTTAAGATAGAAACTTTTACTCAAAGAAAAATTTTCCTTTATTTTTGAAAAGAAACAAAACTGCATTCAAAGATTTTTAAAATTCACTTGCCGCACACGGTAGACGCACCGACTAAAATCTGTAAAAGTTGCACCATGTAGTTACCTACATTTATTGCATCCATTGTTAGGGTCAATAAGGATGAAATGTCTCTACTAAACTTCATAAAGTTAATGAAAGGAAAACAATGAACGATCGAAGCAATAAAAATACAGGGTGCCAACTTTGACAGATTTTGATCGGTTCGAATACCGTGTGACGCAAGCTAATTTTTAAAAATCAATGATGCAGTTTAGTTTCTTTTCAAAAAAGGAATGTTTTCTTTAGGTAATATTTTCTATCTCAAGTATTAAGAGTCCTTCCCCTTCAGATGGCATTACAAAATTCTACCCTGTACAAAAAAAAAAGATCTTCAAGAGCTAATAAAATTTTTGGTTTCCGTGTGACTACCAAATTATTTAGGTAACAAAGATCGGCCAACAGCACTCTCTGATAAACCTTATCCTTTAACTCGTGGTATGCCGAAACGCAGATCTATGCGAGACAATATTATTATGTTCTCTATTGTGTCTCAAATACTGACATTCAAACGGTTAAATCTGCCATCCACAACCGGCCTGCCAAGAATGGAAGTTATGTTCCTCTATAATCCTCTATAGTTAAGGTTTTCGGACTATTGATGATGATTTTCGAGTCGATAAAGATAATGATAATCCTACAAATGCTAATATTATTATAGATGATGCACTTACATGGCAAGATGACGGTGCCAATCCCGACGAATGAGGATCCGAAGGCGACCATCTTGTCTCTATGGCGCAGGTTGTTAAACTCGCCTAGGTACGTGTACACTACGGCTGATGATCCTGACATACTGGAACGTGAAACAAATGTAGTGATAATTTCTCGTAGATTTGTATTTTAAGGCTAAAAATTTAGGTTGGCGCAGAGTCTGGAACTGCGGATAACTTAACGGGTTACCGGGGTTCCAGCTCGAAGTCAGTAAAGGTCTGACAATCACAGAAAACCGACGTAAATCAACGCTTGCGATGTGTTTAGTCATATAAGTGAGGTTACCTAATTAACCCCCTCCCTCCACAATCTCCCCAATCCCTGAATCCCCAACAATCCTCAAATTCCTAATCCCAAAAGGCCGGTAACTCACTTGTAACGTGATCCGTATGCTCGTTTACCGATTTATCCCAAAAAAAGGTAGGCGCAGCGTCACCGGCTGCGTAGCGTATTTCGATTTTTAAATACGATGAAATATATAAAGATTCAAAGAAAAGAATAGCAAGATTTGAAAAATAGAAAAAAACAAGGGAGTTAATGCTGGGGTAACAATGATATGCGAGAATAAAAAAATAAGGAGATCTTACAACGTATTCAAGTTAGATCGAGATTTAAGGACAAGGGCAAGATAGTCATAACTACATGTAGCTTAAGTATGTATGCCTCATAAGTTGTCCTTCTAGACTGCAGTTAGACTGTGACTTTGAATTCGAAAGATCAAAGTGAACTCGATCGCGGTTCGCCGCACCATTGATCGTATCGCAGTAATCTCGAACAATGACGGGCGAGAATGCGATCGAGCTCACTTCTAAAGTTTGTATTGACATCTAATAGAATAGCCTAACAGGTGTAATTTTGAGGAAAACATAAATAACAACAGTTGAAGGAAGTAATTACCTATAATATCGACTACCTTGATGATGCACCTTATCACTTACCTAATCTAGCATAGAAATTGTTTATATGATATTTTGTTTAACTATTTGATTTTAATGAGGTGAGGTAGATAGTCGAGGCCTTCATTGATTAAGTGGTCGCAAATTAGACAGACACAATTGGTCCTAAAAGTTTTGAGCAAAGAATTCTGACTATTCGATTTCTACAATTATCAGTATCCAATGTGTGTCTCATATTAAACTAACGAAAAGCGGATAAAATCAGTACTTTCTGTTTATCGTATTATGTACGGCAAACAAATATACATTTTAAGTGGTGATTTTATGAATGAAGGTATGATTTTTGGAAACTCATAGAATATTTTTCTAGAAATAACTACTTACAATATTGCGGACAAAAAGACCAAGACTCCGAAGGAGATGACGTCAGGCGCGAAGCTGGCGAATGCGGAGAATACGGCAGATATCATCATGGAGAACAACATGACTGGCCGTCTGCCTTGCGTGTCTGCTAACCAGCCCCAGAAGTACGACGTCAGGATTATAGCTAGAATATTTTAATGGAAAGAATTAGCACCAAAGGTAAAATAGAGTGGATAACTTGGGTATAGTGATATCAGTAGCATGAATGCTATTTAATTATTCTTCTGCAACCTTCGATCAATAATAGTACTCAGCAGTTAGTAGTATTCGATCTACAATTTTTTTTTGTTAAAAATTGATAATTTACTTACAAGTCTGCATAAAGAAACTCGAAACCGAGTTTCGAGTACTTATAGTATACTTAATTTTTCACACACATGTAATCAAAAACCACAGTTAAAATCTAAGTGTTTCAACACAGAATTTGTACAATGTAAGGTAAAGAAGGACTTTAGTATTTTAAATGTTTGATATGAGTCCTATTACTTTTTAGTTTCTAGTCATAATCCTCACCTAAGAAAGGTATAGCAGACAGCCACCCTCGCTGCTGCAGCGTCAGGTCCAGGTCACACTGCGCAGCGGGCAGGATGTAGCCTAACGCCAGACTCTGCATGATCATGCCCAGGAGAATCACGCCAGACATCAACATATGTGATATGTTGTATATGCCGAAACCTAAAAGGAAATAACCCATTTGTTTTTAATAGAAGGGTGTTAAGATATTGGCTTTACAATATTGTTCCTGAAAACCCTTCGGGTTTCGTTAATCAAAGATCTACAATTGCAATTCAGGTCGCACGATATCCAATGTATTATTATTGTGATTTCGAAGTTTTCTGATAACAGCAGGATTTGAGCATATTATAGTGTGACCAGTAATATTTTACTTTTAGCGCAATCTATTTGTACAGATTTTTACAGTTCAATGTTTAATAAAATTTCCCTGCATACTGCTATTTGCCCCATAGAAAAATACACTAGCATCGTATAATAAAACAAACTCGCAGTAATACTAATTAAATATTATTATCATGTGATATTCATCAAACGTGGGGTTTCCCTAATCAGTGTGTTTATTTAACTACCATCACATATTATGTGTGTCGCACCAAACAAATATTTACTTTACAAAAACGTAAAAGAACTAGTTACGTAGTCGTTTACTGACGAACTGTGAATTGAACTGCGGTTTTTTATCTTTGTGCTGCGTAAAAATGTGGTCCTAATTTGGTCCTAAGGTACTCCTGACAACACCAGATATTGTTTCGTTTATTTTTTGTCGAAGGCTAAAGTCTGCAAATAAGCAATGCCATCTAATGCAATTTAGCTGATTTGAGTAGAAATTAGCGTAATATTTGAAATAATAAATTAAACGACACTAATTCTTCAACTGATCAAATGTTAAAAGTGGTCCTTCGAGTCACAAAGTAAAATTATAATTATTATCATACATTACTATGAATCGTAATAATTACTATGTATGATATTAATTATAATTTTTTTTCTGCCTTCGTCGAGTCACAAAGTAAAATTATAATTATTATCATGCATTTTACTTTATCGTCTTTGTCAAGTCACAAGGTTATTAAAATTATTATTATTATACATAGTGATATATGATAATAATTGTGATTTTACTTTATCGTCTTCGTCTATGAAATTATGCACAGTTCCTTGGTCAATGATACTTATAAACCTAATAATTATGCACCCACATGCGGAACATTGTTCCAGATAATGACAAATAGATCAATTTGTAATAGAACAATTATTAGCCTTTATTGTGTTAATAGGTTGCGGGTGGTAATCATAGTGTTGAGGCTTGGTAGGATGCGGTGTTTTCTATTTCTACTTTGACGTTTTTCCCTATTATTTAGAAACGAAATCTAATGTTCTAACTAAATGTAAACTTCGATGAGAGGATAATTTAAAGAGTAACTTCAAGGAACGTTGAATTTCGACCACTAGGTATTCTAGGTTTTCTGTGAGGCCGTAGTATCATTCTGGTCATGCCGGCACATTTGTGCCGAAGCATAGCTCTCCCACACTTGAATTACAATTGTAACTAAAACCTTAATGCGAAACTTGTTAGGTTTTTGATTTCTTCTTTTTAGTTTATTTATTCAACCAATCTTCTTGAAAGTTGGGATTATTGACAAGAAAAAAGAGCTAATTAAAGTTTGTGTATTTTAAACTAAACTTGTTTATCTACAAACGAGTATCAACTGCAGCTGAGTATTTCGTCATGCGATCTTTGTTGTCTTTATCAAATGTGGTTCGGGTCAGTCGGTGGCCCTGATCACAAATAGATTATTTCTATTTATCAATCTCCAGATGATGAACAATATTTTGATTGATATCTGTGCATAGTTTGTTCATCTGGAGGAGAATAGAAAGTAGGCTGTGACGATGATCACTTTGATTTAGTTATATTATCTTAAAATTTTAATGTAAAACTGTAATAAGAAATAACCACCTGTGCGATGATTTAAATGTGTGGCTAGAGGTAAAAAAACACGGTGGCCTAAGAAGAGGTTTAGATCTAGCAATGGACCTCAGACCACCAGCGGCTGCAAAATCTATTTTTAGTCAAGTATACGTCCTCGGTAGTCGCACTTAAGGCAATCATGATGGACTTTATGTTTATCTCCACATCATCTTGATTCTGTTTTACTGTTAATTGAAATGACCATGAGGATTTATCCCACAGTCAATTAAAAACAACTATAAATAAGGAACACTTATCATCACAATTAATAAAATGTCCTTAGAATTTTTTTTTGCGAAGAACATTCGTTGAAAATCGTGGCGACCACAGAAAAAATGGGCTATATTCTTTTGATCCCTGATTGCTACGAAAGCATAAATGATAGCAGGTTATGTAAACTGGTTGTATTGGTATATGTCGTTGTCTTTCAACTAGTGACAATAAATTCAGATTAATATGTTCTCTAAATGAATGGTCCTTGTACTCTATGTGGCTGAGCTTTGTCTTAACAGATATGATTATGGATCGTTAAGATACTAGACTGGTAATGAATTTGCCGATAATTGCTAAGCGTCCAGAAGCGCTTCATCATTGGTTTAATGATTCAGTTAATTGGTAAGGCATTTTAGGTACAGTTGCTATACAAAACTGGTGGAGAAAAAAACATTAAATAGATTATGTCTATTAAAAAATGTAATAAGTATTATTTTTGTTGACATTAAGTTAACCAGAATGCCCGTTGTGGTTAAACAAAGTATATATGTAGGTACAAAGGTTGCTTGTGCTATTGACCCAATAATCAACCACAAACCACTTAATTAATATATTTTATTTACTTTACTTAAACGTCTATCGTAGATGTTTCAAAATATTTTGTAACGCTAGTTAAAAACAATAACAATGTTGATGTCACTTACCCGATAACAGCATAGCGTCATCGAGCGAGGCGGCTGTTTTATCCACCTTCATCCCATTCTTGTCTGACGACCCGTTCATGGCCATCTCGATTTCTTGAAGCTGTAAGAAAATAGCAATGTTAGTAAAATATATCGAAACAACAGCATATGAAACCATATATTATGGTTAATAAATGCCAAACGAAGTGTATAGTGCTCAACTGCTCATGTACCTTTTCAAACTTGTCTTGGTCCTTTGATTCGAAATATCAAAAGAGGTCGAGGTTTACATATTGCTATGATTCAAACTCCTAAGCAACCTTCCCCATAGTGAATCATTACGGAGTCCCCCAACATGAGGAACACGAAGAAGACTAACAAAAATTCTTACTGCCTAAAATCACACCTGACCCAACTTTGAGTCGATAGTCTAAGTAGATACCTAACTAGTGATAAGATTTTGGAGAAATAAGATTTTGGACTAATGATCCCATACCCCGTGCTTCCGATATTTTCACGGGATTGGAAAATTAGACCTGTCGTTTTGAACGTACGAAGTCGCGGACAGAAGTGTTGTATTAAGTGCTTGATCAATTCTCTGAAGAATTTGATCAGACATAACCGAAAGCCCAAAAATATTTTTGTTATGAACCCAAAGACAAACACTAGGTGATTTCAACATAGAATCGAAGCGGTGATGTAAGAATTTTTAGCTAAAAGCGGTTTTTTTTTCAAACGACGATAGCATTTAAGTTACCTCAACATCTTGAACGATGTCATATTCATATTTTCTGTCTGCCGCCATGATTTGAGTCTTCTGTCTACTCGAGGCCTAAAAATGTCGAGGTCAAAGTTTTGCTACGAGAAAAGAGAAAATTACGATGTAACATGATTCAGGTGGTCCTTGCTTATATCAAGTGTAGTAAGGATTTTTGCTGTACATTTGAAGATGATCTTTAACTTTATTATTTTTGGATTTCATGGATAGTGCAAGAAATAAGATCTGCAACTTTCGGGTGATCTAGAGCTGTAATTGTACACTAAATAACTTCTGGTCCTTACGTCTATACTAAGGACCAAGTTAGGAAACAAACTTATGTATGTATATAGTATATAGTTCAAAGAAGATTTCGAATAATTTTAGGAAATAAATAAATGACCAATATTTTTGAATATTAATTAAATAAAAAAAATATAATCACATAATACATTTTTATTGATTTGCTAAACCCTGTACCCTCAGTTAACGGCTGACGACTATAAAATGACTAAGTGCCGACGTCTTATCTAATAAAACAGTCATCAAGGAAGTATTACAGCATAATTTTTCACCTTATCTTGTTATCATGAAAGTTGGTTTTACATCCAATAGTTGTTTTAGCAAACTAAAAATATTCCATTGAATTATATGATTTAATGTATTATCAAACATGTTTATTAAGCTGATAATTATAATTTTTTTCTAGGGATTGTGTAGTTTTTCTACAGTATCTAGTCATGTCAAGGTAAATAGAATTCATATATAATATTATATAGATAACGTATATATTTGACTGTGCATTGTTTTTAATGATATGAGGAAAAACTAGGATTATTTTATAGTACAGATTGTAATCATAGATTTTCATGCTCACATTGTGTCTTATTTTTTTGTGTCAATGCAATGACTACCTATGATATACTTAGAATATGATTCATACAATCTTATAAGGTTTTACGTAAAATAATCGAATAACAAAGTTGTATTATATAATCACTTATAGTTTCTACCTATATCATTAGGGGGAATCATGAGAAACATGCCTTTGGTAATCGAATTTATGGTTTCTATAAATGAATTAATGAAAAAAGCGAATAAGAATTACTTACAATTTTGACACATGATATCAATTCCGCGACTACAGGTACAAACGCAGATAAAGACTGATGTAAAATTCAATTAAAGGAAGATTATATACTATAAAAATTAAAATGCTGATAATTAAATTTTTGCTGAAATTAATTAATTAATTTTAAAATATCGCTAGTAGAAGATAAGGTATCCAATATCTATTGTACGAATAATGAATTGCGGTCACACACAGATTATTGGCTTCGTTAGAAGATTCTTAACGTTTCTAGTCAAAGTCAATCCATTTATTTCAAATAAATCTTAATTCGGCACTTTTGAAACGTCAAAAATCGCTCGTTTCAAAGCGTAATTTCGAATGGATAAGTAAGAACAAGAAACTCCATTCGTTACTCTTTTATAAAAATATATGTTTTACAATATCTCTGATACATTATCCAATATTGTACATACATATGTATATATGTGAGTAATAACGTAATCAATGACGTAATTATTTTCTATATGTATCTAGATAACATATTAATGTTTATTTTTGGATGTTACCGGCGGCGACGTGACAAAATTAACAAATAAAAATTTAGGTGAATTATAAATGATAAACATTGCATGTTATCATAATTTATGCACCTAGATATGCGATTTCGTTGCACAGTTGCTAATTACCTATAGGTTCGTTTTTAATACTAACAAGAAATTAAATCCTAAAAATATTCCAATCAGTCTGATCATCAAAAGATACGATATATAGGTTTTTTTAGGTACCATTAAAGGTTAATATTTTTATATACTTTTTGCCAACATCCAAACGGGTAGAAAGGTGTATTAAGATATTTAGAGTGTAATATTAAGTTAACAAGCCCTTAAATGGTAATAGCTCAATTTTACGTGGCACATAAAAGTGGAAGTGACAGTAAACTGTGTTGCGCAGTTCCATAATTTTAGGGCCTTCTTGTATATTCATAGGATAATTCGACGTCACTTTGATGACGTTGGCGATCTTATTACCATAGTAATTTCGATAAGCCGTATATGAAAGATGTTGAGTGATGATGATGATAATGTAGAGATTAGTTATATGTAGAGAGGGCTCATGTTCCACTAGACTGTTACCGGTTCTTGATGATGAAGATTTTAAATACTGGTCTTTTACACCAACTTTTAGCTAATATGGTCCTTTCGGTCCACAAGGACCAGGATGACACTGGTGTTTGCGTTTATCTTATCAGTGTACCTTATTAATTTTAGGAACACATTGTTAGTTTTATAATATCATATTTCATGTAATCAATTTCATTATTTTTATACCTATTGCTTGAGATAAGTTTTCAGAAACGAATGGACGATGTAAAACCAAAATGGATAATTAATAGAGAAAGTCTAAAAAAGAAGAAAAGAAAAGTTTTTTTTATGGCATAAGCCGGTAAATAAGCAGACGGATCACCTAAAGTAAGCAATCGGCGTCGCCCATGGACACTTGGAACACCAAGGCGTTACAAGTGCGTTACCGGCCTTTTGGGGATTAGGAGTTTGAGGATCGTTGAGGATTCAGGGATTAAGGAGATTGGGGAAGGAGAGGGGGTTATTGGGCCTCCGTTAACCTCACTCACACGACGAAATACAACGCAAGCGTTGCTTCACGTCGGTTGTCTGCTCGACTGTGGATATCACTCCGGTCGAGCCGGCTCATTCGTGCCGAAGCATGGTTCTCCCACACTTATAAGTTAGTTGAAGTTGACATGCCTGCTACTATTTGTATTTTTAGAACAGGCCGTTTGTTTAGTGTTGATTAACACTATTTAACCTTAAGACTAAGATAACTAATGATAGCAGTGTTATGAAATTGCATCATTCGTGAGTTTGCGACCCTTCGGAGCAGGTAAACAGTATGCTATCTGGAACGTGACGAGTATATTGAAAAGTTTTAGATAATGCTTCTTTAATCAAGTTAACCTAACGGTTAATGCACTTTTAGTTTTGAGGTTTTGTTTTTACTGAGACACTAGCTTCAGGCCGCGGTTTCGCCGGCGTGCCCGTTTGATAAAAAGTAGCCTACGTGTTATTTCAGACCATAATCGATCGCATTTTCCAAATTTCATTCCGGTCCTTTCAGCCGTTTTGACGTGATTGAGTCACAAATATACCTACACACAGACTCACAAACTTTCGCATTTAAAATGTTAGTTGGATCACAGTCAATATTTCCTGAAAAGGATATGTAGAGATTTGAATCGCATCGTCCACTTTACACCAGTTATGTTACGGAGCTCCGCGTGTCTAACAACGGTCCTAATCAACCCTTAGACAACGGTCTTAATCAACCCTTGGACAGGAGTTCGTAGTTCGTAGTAATCTATATAAATAAAAATGAATTTCCATTCGTTAGCCTCGCTATAACTCGAGAACGGCTGTTCAGCCGTTTTCGTTAATTCGATAATAATAATTAACTAATAAAGGCACTAATTAAGGCATTAAATGCAAATGCATTTATTAATACAAAAAAAGAAAATTATTTATAAACTTGGCCTACAGTGTCTCGATTTACGAATAGGTACACACAAGTAGATTGATTAGCTTAAAACTACATTATGTATTAGTAGTTACCGAAAAGAGTCAGGAACTGTTCTTTTACATGAGTGATGGGTACTATTATTAGTGAGCACTAAAATGTTTTTCGGTAAACTTTGTGAAGTGTGAAGAAAACAAACTTAACACGTACCTATTGAATAAGTTACTTATAATAATTAACCGTATTTTGTCATTATTGCATAACAAAGAATTTCCTAATCAAACTACACAGGAAGGTCAACACTCCAGCATTCTGAGTAACACATTGGATATTAGACCCACTGTCCCAGTTTCTGCGAGTTATCAATCAACGCTGTAATTAAATATTATTAATTGTCGCTAATACAAATAGCGAATTAACTAATTAATTAATTACTTACGCTTAAAATTAATTTTGTAATTTTCTCCAATTATCAAACTGTTTCGCGTCTAAAGAAAAGTTGGTGAACAAAAAAGCTTGAATTATTTTTTCAAATGCAGCTTTCAGTCATTATGTCACAGATTCCCGCGCTTTTGTATATTTTTTTATTTTCTATTAGTTTTTCAGCCAGTTATTTATGTCTATGGTCATAACTTTTTTTATAAAAATATCACATTGCGTGTACTCACTTTATTGTAAATAGTTATGAAGAAGCGCGCGCGGTGCGGTGCATGCTATGCCACTGTACATTACACTGATTACTTTCAACTGTCTCGCGTCTGTTTTATTTCGGCCAGCATCGCCAACAAATAAGCTAATGATAAGAGTTCGCGGACCTATCCGCTTGAACTTTTGGTGCTAAATATAAACAAACTTTTGGTAGTTTTAGTGTTATCTGCGTTACGTTAAGTTACTTAATTTATTATGTAGTGTTATGAAATACGCACATAATTATTAAAAATAGAATAATTCCTTCGACACGCTCAAGAAACGCGGATAATTTTGATCTTTAATGTAACTTGCAGTGAAAATTTTATAAATTCTACCAACCAATTCTAAAACGGTGGTTCAGTGATTTCTAACGTATTCGAAAAAAGAATGTTTTAAACATATTAGAGTTGCACAAAATTGAAAAAAAAAATAATGCGCGGGAAACGTCTATGACGTGTAATGACAACTGCGCTTTTTTTTTCGTAGACACACACTTAGATAAAGATCTGCTGATGTAATTACAGTTTTCTATAGTATCATCGTATTTAATTATAATGTTACAGACGGGGAAACAGTTCCTGTCTATACCTACACGATAAATCGATGATATTATAATTTTTTTGTTTGGGTTTGTTACAATTAGGTAAGTTTCGGCCATGATAATTGTGTCCTCAGTTTTAGCCCCGATAAATTAAAGGTCATGAACACTTGATATCGTTAACTGGACAAGAATTTTGATCAGTCACTTTTATAGGTTATTTATTGTCTTATTTAGAACGCTAACTGCGGTCTCTTAGGTCAAAAATTTAATTGTATTTTTAATGTTAAAGACGGGTCTACTCCGCACTTAAGTAAAAAATAAAAACTGCTTTTAAAACACCGACATAAAAATAACCATAAACTAATAACAAACAAAAAGTCAAAACTAAAAAGAAAAAAATAACTATCATTAGTACTGATAGGTTACCCACCAACCCACCTTCTAACGTCAGTTAGAAGTCAGCGCCATAAGTTGTATACCTACAAAATTATTCATTAAAACCTTAATAGATACCTAATTTACAATTTTGTGGCCATTAAGTTATATCATTATGATATGAGCTTATGGCACCGACTTCTCCTGATCTCATGGAAATGGGACCATCTCGGGAGTAGACCCTTTCAAACAAAACAAGAATTTTGGAAATCGGTTCACAAATGGCGGAGTAATGCGCGAACAAACAAAAAAAAACAATCAGCCGAACATAGTACCTCCTCCTTTTTTTGAAGTCGGTAAAAATTACGCCAATACGGAATTTTGTACTAAGCCACATTTTGTAAAATAAAAGTTTATGCAATAATAGGTTCGCTTCTCATTAAATCTCAAAAAGAAACTTCTGTATTTAATTTACGTTATTTTGTCATACCGACCTTTATAGTGTCCACAGATACTTTCATATTTCCAGCTATACTTTTTTCACACCAAAAAATAGTAACATACGACCATAGACAAACTACAACACTAACAAAACTTATACTCTTTCGTTCCGAACACACTCAAATATATCGTAAAACTGAAGGAATTCGTCAATCGGGCCGATATTTAATGGAAGATCATCTGACATGAGATAAGGGGCTGCGGGAGGCCTGTATCTTCACATCTTGAACTTAGGGGTCGGACTGCACTACCTAATCTTATACTTACATAAGATCAGCACAACCGCACATCAAGCTACGCCTAATATCTTCGATGAATGAACTTTATGACTTTCGGGACAAGATAGAAATTCGGTTGAAGATGTTTGTCGGTTAGAGGTAGGTTGATGTGCTAGGGTTTGTGATTCAGTAACTAAGTGGGGCATGAGATCATTCCCTTCTGTCATGGTTCAATGTGAATAAACACAATCGGTGTTAGGAGATCAGACTGAAGTATTGAAGTATTTAATTAATTGTTGGACTGCCTGACTGCGTTGGCCGAGTGATCGCAAGTGCGACTACCAGGCAAGGGGTCTCGGGTTCGATTCCGGGGTCGGGAAAAGTATTACTGGGTTTTAAAAAAAATCTCATTGATAGTATTACATGGGACTCATAACATAAACATAAAATAGTTTTCGTGTTATTTATGCAACATCAACTTTGAGCAGTAGATTACAATTGTCATTACATAAAAGAAAAATTAAATTACTTACTTTTTAAAATAAAACTCGTTTTTTACCTGTAGCCGTTTTCGAGAGCGTTCTATTTACACCCTGTATTATATTTTCCACATAAAAGTGACGTCATTCAATAGAGTTAATTACATTTAAAATCTACGTACCTACATGTCGTCTCAAGATATCCATTGCGTAAAAAAAGATAGGTGTCGAAGTTTATGGTTTCAAATCCATTAAAAGGATTTAAAAAATATGTAGTCACGATGTGTTCTCACGATTCATACCTACATCATTGAAATAAAAGTAGATATTTAATTATTATCTATTTACGTGAAATGTATTTACCTACGTATATATAGATAAATCGTAGTAGGTATACCTAGTAATTTTATTTGTAAACAAGTTTTTGTATTACGTCTAAAGTACTTTACATACTTTACCAGCACGGCTTTGGCACGGCTCCAACCCAGCAATTAACTTGACATTAAATTTTATGTGTTAAGACAATATATTTCATAACGTAAATAATAATAATAATAATAATATGGAAATCACCGGGGCCGGACGGACTGCACAATTTCTGGATTAAATGGTTCAAGAGTTCACACGTTCGCTTAGCATTACACTTCCAGGCAGCTTTGGAAACTGGGTCGTTACCACAATTTCTAACAACAGGAGTTACCCACTTGCTCCATAAATCAGGTAGTTCCACTGAGCCCAAAAATTATAGACCAATTACATGTCTACCAACGGTCTATAAACTTCTTACATCCATTT